AAGTCAGAGGAGAATTCATTGCATACATAAGACGATGTTGTCTTTTATCTCTTACTATTTATTACAAATATCGAATCCTAATTAAATTCACGGATTATCCACTACCCGCGTCTTTTTCAATCATTTTTATCTCAGAAAGTGTTGTACGTCTAACTCTTCATAAAGTTTATCAACTTGTACATCAAGCGCTCGATGTTCGCGTGTGACCTTTGACATCACGCGTGCAGAAATTCCTAATCGTCGGGCTTTTGATTAGGGGAACCCTTACATTTTTATTCTGTATACGCTCCATGAGTGATTTTCGGGGAATCCAGTATTTTTCTAGTAAGATTGGATATCTATACTTTCCAAAAATACCAAAATTACCATACTTTTATTGGAAATAACCACCCGATAAATACTTTTCTGGGAACCCATCTTTAACCCGATGGTACACTTCAGTTTCTTTTTTTTTAAAAAAATAAGACAGATTATGATTTCTATATTTGAACGTGCTGACTTCTCGTTTTAACTGAATTTTGATAAATGATTTCATTTTTATTGTATAAATATACTAATCGTTGTCATGATATATCGTATTTAAATACAGTATTACAAATTACTTTCTGTATTTTAAAAACAACGAATTAAAAACAAATTACATACAGTACATTTAATTATGGGATGATGTATTGTGTATTCTTCATTTATTAAAACTGTTAGGTGTGGTTGGCGTTAATGTGAGAATCGTATTTTTATTTCTTCTTACGTTTAAGATACTGGAGACACGGTGTCTCAGTGGGTATAGAAACGGAATGAAATGAAATGAAATGGGGTTTACAGCTCCAGAAAATAAAAACAATAGCCTTATTCTAAGTACTAGATGTTTAAGTGTCCTACCTGTTGTGTAAATTATTCATTAAATCCTATTTTACTTGTCCAGAGGGTTCAAAAATATTTTTAAATCCAAGTCACATTTGAAAAGCTTTACGTCAGGCTTTTCAAATCATTTATTTGAATTTTTCCAATTTTTTTAAATTAGGTGTGTTAAGATGAAATTTGTATCATCAATTAATTGGAATATTGTAAAATAGTGCAATTTGTTGACCAGAATAAAGATTGGGACATATTATTCAGTTACAACAAGAGTGGTATTGAGCCTTTAAAGCGATAATTTCATATTTTCTAAGAAAGTCAAAACATAATTATTTCTATGTCTTTTGCTCAATAGGTTGTCAACTCACTATTATACGATCATAGGTATTATTCTCCCACTTAAAAATCCTTTGACCCCGGAAATAATAACACAATTACCTCCCTTGTTTTTCTATTCCCCCCATGGAATAGCTATCTTCAAACGTTTGAATTTGAAGTGGAAAATGATATTTTTGCCAATTTCTCAACTGGCAATAGTGAATTATAGGATTAATAGGATTATTCTTTATCAAGGTAGGACTGTTTATAGATACCATCTATTTTAAGGCTTTATTTTAATAAATTATAAAAAATTAAATTAAAAATATGAAATTTCAACTTTAACGTGCTACTGTTCTGCTCCGAACTGGGCTAATGAAGACGGGCATACGCCATAGAATGCGCTATGAGGGAAATTTTGCCCGGACAGCGGCACTACGGAGTATTCATATATCAAATTCCAACTATCAAGGGATCTTTTACGTACACGCCAATGTATACACGGGGTCTCGGTTTTCGTTCTATCCGAACGAATAGACAGCTGTCCTTGTCAGGTCCTCCATTCTGCATCACTGACAAGGGGGAACCACGCCTGAAAATCGGTGGGTACAAAGCTGGCGCACTTACCAGGATGGCACCTCGGTGGAAGCAGACGTAAAATACAACTAACTCACACACACAGGATGGCTCGTCATGGGGGTGGGGCACTGACCAGACTGACCAGGATGGCTCGTAATGGCGACGGCGCACTGACCAGGATAGCTTAACGAGTATGGGACGATTTACCCAAAACTACCAATTACTATTCAATGCTACCCAATACTAAATAAATAATATAATACTAGAATACTTGTTAGTCCCGAAATGACCTAGCTTGTTTCGAGTGGACGTTAAAACCCCATTAAACCCATCTCTCTCTCTCTCTCTCTCTCTCTCTCTCTCTCTCTGTACATTTCTGTACCAACCTGGTTTTTTTTTATTTTGAATAGATAAATTGTATTTAATTTACTGACAATAATGATTAATGGCATTTGGTTTTCTTTAAAATTTTCAACAATAGATGTTTTGTTTTATTTAATACAATTACTCTTGATATAGAATCTTACTATTTAAAAAAATAAAAAAATGAAATGGGCTTCTACACCAACCTTGGATAAAGACTTGGTTTATTTATTACATTGCAACGTTTCAACTAATGTACATTATGTTTTTGCTTGAAAACGACTTGTGAAATCTATTGAAACGTTGCAGTGTAAAAAACGCCAGGTGATTGAATCCATACTATAAGTGTTCTAGTATTATAAATCAATTGCTAAATGCCCCTCGAGGATTATACTAACTAAATACTACAAAATACCACAACATACTAGGCCCACCTCATTATTGTGAAAAACTAACAGAATGGTTTAATTATTCAAACAAACAAAAAAACGAAGAGTTATTTTGCGCGATTTTCAGCGTCATTTCTGTTTACCAGTGGTGGATGATGGAGGCCCTGGAGAGGAATAGTGTCTAATCCTTCGAGAGGCTGAACACCGAGACTTGTTTACAGGACTGGTGTTCATATAAAGGAGTCCTTCTCTGTTGGAATCCGATGAAGAGTCGAGGGAATGCCTCTGCTCGGGCAAAATTTCCTCTTTTACACTGCATGGGGTATGGTCGTCGTCTTTATCCAGGGTTGGTGTAGAAACCCATTGCATTTTTTATTTTTTGTTTTTTTTTGTTGAAGATAATAAAAAAAACCCAAACAAATGCCATTAAACATGCATTATGCAAGAGCTAAATCTGATTATTGCAAGTCTTAATTTAGGCTTCAGATGTTATAGAAATTATAAATTAGATCTTTATTTCAACAACAAGACCAAAATCAATTCTGTAGACCCACGGATGGCTCGGCTACAGCTCGGATTTAAATAGGATTTCACTAATTGATTAAATCAGATAAGGGGTAACCTGATGAAAATACGTCAGTTAGATCGAGGCTAAATGATAAAGTGTACTTAGCGAGGCCGCTGTAAAGCGTTTCCGTATGCCATTGAAAACTTTACTTGATAATCGAGATATGTAGGTGGAGTTAACGCCTGTCAATCAAACGTTCGGCGAAGGTGAAGACACATTTCGCTACCATTTCTAGGCAAATATTACAACGATGATAGCTATGTTCAGAATAAAGTAATTTGACTGAATTTTTCAATATATTCTTCTTTCATCATCTACTTTTGAACTGTTATAGCAAGAATGGCCAACTCTCTATAAATATCTCCCATAATGTATCTTTAATCATTAATGTCAGTAAATTAAATACGATTTATCTATTTAAAATAATAAAAACAGGTTGGTACAGAAATTTAAGACGTTAAACCCTATTTCGGGAGCCGCGTTGGGTTAGTAAGAGAGAGAGAGAGAGAGAGAGAGAGAGAGACTATGGTTGAATTTTATTTCAATAATCGCTCATGCGTAGGGGTCTTTAGCAGTGGCAGGTAACGGAGGACCCGGAGAAAACCCATGAGGTTGAACAGGCGACCCTGCCTTGTCACTTAAAACCAGGGAATCGAAACCACGCCAGTTGACTCAACGACAGACCTTATGATACAACGTGCACGCGCTAACCATGACCTCGAATAAAAAATATATACATGAATTTATTAAGTTCACCGGTTGTGGAGAACGGTGGGGTGATGGGGTGGGTGGGGGTAGGATGGGGTGCTGAAACCGCGTAGTGAAATAATGTCTATATTGAATGACCGTCTTAAACATACATTATGCAAAAGCTAAATCTGCCTATTGCAGGTCTTTCTTTAGGCGTGAAATGTTTTCTAAATTATTAATTAGACATTAATTAAGTGATCCAGGTCATAATCAACTCTCGATGGCATCGGATTTATCCGATATTAAATAGATTAGAAAGGTTCTGCCATATTTTGATTTAATTTAAAAATGAAAGAGAGAGACTTGGCTTCGAACAACCAGTACGGTGGTTGAAATTATTGCACACGTCTTGTCAAACCTTCAAAAGCTAATATCTTCGCTCGCAATAGAGTAATTTAAATGAAAATTTAAAATTATTCATTTTACATAACTATTTTCGAACTGGTATAGCAAGAATGGCCAGCTCTTTATCTAAATCGTATATAATGTATCTTTAATATATATTATTCCCAGTTCTATATTGACAATTCCTTTGATAGTGCAAGGCAGATTTCATGTAACACTGTGTTGCATATCTCGTGTTGGGTTTCAGGCGCTCTGTGTTTATTACATTAACAAGGTTAAGCTTGATGTATGTCATTTAAATGAAAGCCAAGTACCTCGTTTTCCCAGTTTTTACGGAGTGGCTTTTTATTTCCCGAGAATAACAAAAAAATATTGACAATTCCCTTGATATAATAAGTGCTAAAAACTAATGACAAGTGATTTGCGTATTGAAACGGCCTGTCAAAAGTAATCACTACTTAAAATACTCTATGAAGTCCATGAACACCGACATATGAAACCTTCCCCGGTCAAGCGAATAATTCTCCTAACTCCAGGCAAGCTGTCATTTTTCAGATTGAAACGACAACCCGTATAGTTCCTTAAATAGATTTTTATTTCTTCAAAGTTCATTAAAACCAATTATTGAAGTCTCTTATGCCTTTCAAATCCGTCATCCGATCCGTCCGAAACATTTCATTAATTTAATTATCACCAAAAATCATTCGTTTCGCTGTACAGCGTCTTAACACCTCCAGGCGTGAAATCGTCACTTAAGCCCCGCCCACCGCTTTTCTGATTGGTTGATTGTAGCAAGTACCCGCCCTAGGGCACGAAACTTGATGGCTGTGGCTTGAACAAGCTCTTCAAGCATGGCGGTTTAACATCATACAGAAATACGACAGTTTAAAAGAGTGTTTAACTATAATTAGTTAGCAGGAGTCGAGGAGAATCTGTTTGAGTGAATTTAAGCGACGGCATCTTGTCAAGACAGCGAACTTGGTGTGTTTACTCGTTTACCTTTCCAAGAGGACGCAACCAAGAGTGCACATGTATATCTGATTCGTCTAAAATATCGCCAAGGACTTTTTCATTCCACTTCGCGGACTGCTAAACACTGTTTTGACCGCTTCGACATTGTGTGTTTTGCGTTACGGATTATCCCAGGTATTATTAGCATAATATTAATAAGTGTACGAAGTGTCTCATGCTTTGTGGATGTGTTACGGTAGCCAACAAACAATAAACATTATTCGTCTGCTAAAACCGTGGATGTTATAGCATCCATAGACAATTTGTGATCAGTTATTTATGTGCATTTTCCTGTTTCTGAAATTATAACCCGATTTCTTTTCCGCAGACTTAATAACCTCAATCAAAAGACATAAACTTAGTGCATCTGATCTCTGACAATTTTGGGACATTTTTACACTTCTAAAGCGGAAGTTAGCCGTGTGTAAAAGAACGGTTAACCGGTTAATGAATTAAAAAAAGGATTATCCGAGTAAGATGTCCGATTTGAGTTGTATGTGACAGGATATGTCCGTGTCGAGTTGTATATCTGATAGTGACGATAGTTCCTGTAACCGAGAGGCCTACGATTCCATCCACAAACTCGCCATGATCCAACTACAGCCTCCCCGAAATCCCAACAAACCTTTCACTTCCTTCAGTATTAGAGACATTCTAGCTTCACCCTCTCCCAAAGAGGTAATTCACACACCCTCCCCGAGGGAAAGGCTCTCTCCTAGAGACAGATTATCGGGTAACTCACCTCGTCAAATTCACTCCAGGCCCTACAGTCGGGGGCGGTTAAGCGTGTCTCTAAGTAATTCCAGGATCGTTCGACCATGGGATAACATCGCAGAATCAGAAAGTTCGTCGGACGAGGAGATAAATGTTGATGACGACGATGATGATGAAGAAGCCCCTAGTCCCTGTTTAAAATCCGTGTCCCCACTTGATGCCCTAATGGCCATGACAAATAAAACATTTCAAGGTTTAGACCATTCTGATAATTCAGGTAGGAAAACCTTTATTGATTATAATTTTAATACCTATTTTTATTGTGCATGTGAAGTTTTGCACGTGTTAAACATCAAAATTGATGTCTGTCTGGATCTGTTTTTTTTTGTTTTCGTTGATGTGAAGAGTTCGCACGCATCCAGTTCGTCACAAAATCACCTGGAGGTAAATAGACGATTCGTTTAATTAAGTTCAGGAGAAAAACACACAACAAACAGTAACAATTACTTAACACAAACACACGACCATAATCCGACAAAACACGGACATTGTAAACCCCAGTAAGAAGACTAGCAAATCATTGAGTGAATCCGGGAGTTTGGCCGTAAACGTAGAAGATATGTATACTTCATTAAATTCTGACATTAAATTGTGTTCTGCAGAAGTAAACGTAATACATAATAATTATCAATGGATACAGTATAATCAGTAATGCATACATAATAATTAACACTCGATACACAATAATTATCAATGGATACACAATAATTGATAACGGATAAAGAAACACACATGCACACAAACATGTACAAAATAAAGTCAAAAATTTATTCATAGTAGATTTAAAGAGAGAAAATTACAAGACAGGTCATAGCCTTAATATTTTTCCCCAAATCTACATTAACTCTCTATTTTAATTTTGTATAAATGTTTCAAAACGTATACAATGTCGATTAAAAGATTATAACCTAAATATTTTCCCCCAAACTATATTAACTGACTATTTTTATTTTATTGTAAACTTACACAATGTCTATTTCAAGATAATATCCTAAATATCTCCCCCCCCCCCAAATGAATTAACTCCGTATTTTGAATCTATTATAAACGTTTTAGATCTTATGCAATGTCGAATTAAAGATTATATCCTAAATATTCCCTCTAACCCCCCATTTTGTTGTTATTATAAATTTTTAAAAACTTGTACAATGTCGAATTAAAGACAATATCTTCATCCTGATTAGAACATAAATATTTCCCCTTGAAAATAAAAAAGTGGCTGCCTATTTTGATTTTATTGTCCACGTTTTAAAAGCTATAAGAATTTGATTAAATAATAAATTGTCTTAATTAATATATTATATGTCACTTCCTCCCTCGTCTTCTTTAAAACTTAATGGATATTATATGCAAATATTATCTCATCATGAGTATTCGTGAATTATAACTGTTCTATTAGCAGTTAATGTGCTTTAAAAAATGGGATAATTTTGTCGAAATATGACAATAAATGTCTCAACAGATAAAAAATGAAACCGGCGTAAAACATACAAATATCATTATTATCGCATTAAGCATAATAAATTATAAATTCATCAACAAACCCCAAACATCTGGGGAGTTACATTTCATAACTTGAAAACAAAATATTATATCTCAAACTATATGTAATAATACAGTATAATTGTAATGCAGGAGAACTACATCACACACAACAACCCAAAAGAAACACAGCAGATAAGCCGACGGAGAAGACACATCGCACACATAACAACAAGATAATTTCAATAGAACACAGTTTTTATGGAATACAATCACTAGTTTTATCCTAAAAGCATGACGTTTCGACAAGTATCCTCCTATGTTATCAAACACATCGTACTTTTAGAATAAAAGTAGTAATTGTATACCATAAAAACTGTATTCTGTTAATGTGTTTCCCGATCGCTAAATGCCGTTCAAAGATTAAGATAATATCAAACTAAGTGAATGGATAATGCGATTACTTAGGAAACCAAGAAATATTTTATTACAATGCAAATTAAACGAATAAACTGTATACATATAATAGTTTATGTTAAATCAGTTTTGGGTATATTTTCTTAGAAATCGAACGCTTACTGCTGGTCCCGGGATCCATTCATTTGATTTGATATTTTTTGTTTATTGCTTGCAATTAATGCCCGTGTAATTTCTGTCTTGTCCGTATATTTGTCTTATGGATTTTGTTTGTGTGTAGTGCGGTTCTCCTCTACTTTCTATTAGTTTACAAATTATTGCTGTTTTTAATACGAACCATTGGTGATTCCGTGTTTTTCTCTATAAAAAACCCCAGTTATGTACATTAATACACCTGGGAGACAAATGATTGACGATATCATAAAACACATAGAAGTATCAGCTTCTGTAAATACTAAATATAATAATGATAATACAAAGATTTCTATGTTAGTCAAAGTGGTTTTTGTATATACCTATTGTACAATTTATGACTGATTGCATCTCGAATTTGAGATTCATGCGATATATATTACAAAATTTAAATGTATACATTATAGTTACATATTTAAATTTACTCCTTTCTAAAGTATATTTTATAGGTTATAAAATAATCTATGACATATTGTACAATACAATATACTATCTATTACAAGACATATATTATGTAACGTAATAAACATTGTATTTACAAATTAGGGTAAACTATATTTTACATAGTGAAACAGTGTATATATATCACAGACTGTGTGGTACTATTGTAAAACATTGTATAAATAGTATAAACAATTTGCTACTAGTGTGAAACATTTTATAAATATTACAAACAATTTGCTACTAGTGTGAAACATTGTATAACTATTACAAACGATTTGCTACTAGTGTGAAACATTGTATACATCTTACAAACAATTTGGCACTATTGTGAAACATTGTATAAATATTACAAACTATACAATACCAATGTAAAATATTGTATAAATGTTACAAACAATGAAGTACTAGTGATAAATATTGTATAAATATTACAGACAATACCATATTAATGTATAACATTGTATACATATTACAAACAATATCATAATAATGTATAACATTGTATACATATTACATACAATACAATATTAATGTAAACATTGTATACATATTACAAACATTAAAACATTAATATATAAATAATACAAACAATGTTGCTGTATAATACATATAGACAATATATATTATAACATTATACTAGAGATATAGAATTACAAAATAAAACACTGTATACATATTACTTTTACAATGTTTATACATATACCATATATATTCTTCAATAATAAAACATTGTATACATATTACATTGAACCTCATAAAAAAACACATAACCCTCCATTATATATAAACATTACATAAAACACAGTAAATATTCTAGTCATAATTGTATTAAACTGATTAAAATGATGAATTATATCTTTGTGGGAAAATGATCAAAATGAAACATACATTGTACTAAAACACAATTGTGTATAATACATCGGTGATGAATTGCATTTTATATGTACATGATCAAAATGATGAATCATGTCTTTTTATGAAACTGATCAAAATGATACATACATTGCATTGAAACAAAATTATATAAAATGTACAGCAATATTATTAACGCTTGTATTAAAATATCAAGCACGGTTGATCCTAAACCAAGAGTCAAACCGATGGACGAGTTCGACAAAACCGAGAAATAACAAATGAACTCGCCACATGAAATGAGGGGTGTATATGTATAAGTATTAATTTTTTAACAGAAAATCATAAAAGAATGAAAAGTTAACTGCGACAATTTACTTTTATAAATTACCTTAATATGCAATTTTGTTTATTTATAAATCTGAAATCGTAATGACCATGAGATAAAAATGGTAAAAATCGGATGTATCTAAATAAATGTATAATTACTCATACATAGATTATCGATGATATATCAGTTCGATTAGTCATCGATAATTAATCAATTTATTGATGATAAACCAATTAGATATTTGATATCTTCATTAACAAAAACAGATCAATTAATATGAAATCAACATCAATGTGAAATAACATAAATATTTGAGTGATGTATCAGATAAAATAATTGTGGCGAATTCTGAGAAATTTATGTGGTTAAATAACTGGTCGTGGTATTTTCTTTCAATCATTTGCTTGATAAGGACTGGGGGCAACGGTGGTTCAGTGAGTAAGACGTTGGCTCCCTAACCTGGAGGTTCCGAGTTCGATCCTTGCGTTGGCCGAGAAAGTTCATCGGGATATTCAGACGTGGTTCACCCTTGTCGGTGGTGAAGGATCAAGGGCTGTATTGTATTTAAAATGAGGTAGAAACAAGACTTCGATATTAAGCTCCTACTCGTATTTCAGGAGTTATTTTACGTGCACGCCAACCTGAACACAGGGATTTCAGTTTTTCGTCTCATTCGAACGACTAGACACTGACCTTGTACCCCAACCCCCCCGCCCCGCACCACTGACAAGGGGAAACCACGCTGAACACGGGGATTTCGGTTGTTCTTCTCATTCGAACGACTAGACACTGACCTTGTAAGCCCACCCCCTCCTGCACCACTGGCAAGGGGAAACCACGCTGGTCCTATAAATAAGAACTGCTATCAGGTAGTCTACTTCATGCACGACACCTATCACAACCGCTAGCTAATTGGGGTATTTTTTTTAAATTTCGTTCTACTGAAGGAGGTGGGTGGTCGAATGGTCTTATGTGTACGCATTAGATCATAAGATCTGTCATTGAGTCAAGTAGTTTGGTTTCGATTTCCAGCTTGTACTTGATAATGAATGGGGTTGCCTGTTCAACCCCGTGAACTTTCTCCAGCCCCCCGGTTTCCTCCCATTGCTAAAGACCCTTACGCGCAAGCGAAGTATTGAAATGAAATTGGACCATATGATTATTAGTCTCAAAATGACTTAGTTAGTGTCGAGTAGACCTTAAACCCTATCCTAAAATGCCATGTTTTTTTGTATATTTTCTCCATTATCGTCTTAAAATCCACGTGTGTGGAACATCTGTTTAATTTATCACCCTCTGGAAAAAAAAATTAAAATGAGATATATGTTTATATCTAGATTTTATCAGGATCTAGATAAATTATATCTAATGGTTATATTGATTCTTGGGTTTATATTTTACTCAAAATAAAATTAATGTTGCAAATATAGACATCTTAAATTTATTCTCCAAATAAATAGACAATACAAGAGAACTGTACATCAAATCACAGACAGAAT